ATAGCAATGCAGCATGCCTTGCACTGCTGTGGTTGCGCTTATCCCTGCTTCCAGGGGCAACAAGTGAGCCACTGCTGAGCCAGCCTTTGCTAGATGCATTCCGAGCAGTCTGTGGCTCGACGAAGCTCCAGAATCTCTGGGCCAAAATCCCGTGGAGAGCCATACATAACGGCTGGAGCCACCCTCATCGCCAACATGATGTAGTGGAATACCTCACTTTTCTGCGAGACCGCCTTCATCCTTCAGTTGCCAATAGCCAGTGGGAGTCTAGACAATTGCTTGAAGGTAGGGTAAGGGTCATTGATTCAGGGTCCTGTTGGCCGTTGTGGTTGAACAGCCCACTCACTACCACCCCCCCGCCACTCTCCGCGGAGATTTCAGTGCAGAATCTGCTGGAGCTCTGGCATGCCCAATCGGGCCAACAGGGCGTGTGTGGAATGCCGAGGGTCTTGCTGATTCAAATCAACCGTTTTGATATGCAAGCTGGTATCCCGAATAAGTCAAGCAGGCAAGTTCTGATTAATCCCTACATCATGGTCCCCAGCTTCCCTGCGGATTTGATTCAGCCGCATGCAATGGAGGTGGGTTTTCTCAGGTTCCGCCGCACCGCTGCATTGCTGCATGAGGGTCAGTCGCCAACGACTGGCCACTACCGCGCAGTGCTCTATGAGGATAAGCGAATGTTCATCACTGATGACAAGGTGCCAGCGAGGCTCCTTCAAGCCAATGCCTCGAATCAGGAGTACATCCAAACCAGAGTATATGCAGTACTCTATGTGCACTGTGCGGATGCATAACAGCTGCCCTTCTGTGCCTGAAGGTTCTGTAGTCTGCAATGAGCAGTTGGATCCTTATTTTAATCTTGCTATGCACTACTATTGTACTTTTGGATTTGTCCTCGCACTTAGGGGTCTTCGGACCGGGGGGCAATTTGAGCCTCGTGAATCATCGAGGTGCGCAGAGCGCCAGGGAGCGGACCCTGTCACAACTCCGCAATCGCAGAGCGAGTTCCTCTTGCTGCGTCGGGAAGGAAGTAGTAGTAGTAGTAGTAGTAGTAGTAGTAGTAGTAGTAGTAGTAATAGATTGGGTGTCCGCTGGCAAATGAGGGTCTAGGGCGTCGCTCGGGGCGTCGCTCGGGGCATCGCTCGGGTCCCATCACACACACACACACACACACCTACCTACCTACCTTGTGAAATATCTAGCCGATGTCTAGCCAAATCATGCTAGACCAGACAAGAAAGCATCAGACGTCCGTTCCTATATGTTTTCAACTCCTGAGGCGCGGTTACTTGGGGAAAGACCGGATTGTTATGACTTCCCGCCAGCGTTTTGCACTGCAGCCGCATCTGAAGAACCTGTTTCCGGCGCAGGGGTTCCTTCGGGGAACCGAGGTTTGTTATGACTTTATTTTGGGAGGCATAACGAGGCGGTTCACTGGGGAAAGACCTCCCCCAGCTGCTCCCGTTATGACTTCGACCTCACACAGTACCTTTTCAACGCCTTTTATTTCGCGTTTTGTAAAGGAAAATGATAATGACGCGAGCATGCCAGGCCGGCTGGTGGGCGGGCGGGGGAGTGTAGGAAAATCCGAGTCACGTGGCCTGTGCCTGGTCTTCACCTTTTCCACACACTTGTTTTTTGTTTTTTTTACTTTTTCCTTACCTTTGTGTGTCACTAGTTTCCAGCTTTATTTCACTCTATACTGTATCTACCTTTATTTTACATTTTTTTCCCAAAGGGCTGTTTGGGCCGCCTCCATCGGAACGGTCCTTCCAACTGTAGCAATTGGATACCACTTTCGTAATGCTCGTCGGTTTTTGTCGAGCACATCTCCAGGAACAAACTCTTCATTTTGTTTCTTCATTGTGCTTCAACGTATTGCAAAGGCACTGCTGGCACTGCCTGTATGCTTCAGAGAACGCAACCGTTGACAAAAAATGCTTCCCCCCAAAAGAGTAATGCCTTACATCACCATGCCGCACCCCAAGGATGTTGCATGCGTGACGCCTTTGCGCCGTGGAGATAGTCAAAGTGTTTGCCTTGCTTTCTATATCAAACACAGTATACCACTACACCGGAAAGTAGACTACAATATAATGTTGCAGGACATGAGCAGAATAAGAGAGGACGGGGCCAGAAAAGACAGGACGGGGCTGATTTGAAGATGTGGTGGGGGGTTGAAAAACACAGGGGTTG